TAATAATGTTTTAATTAGTTACTACTTTAATAATAATAATAATAATGGCTCATCATTTGTAACAAAGGGTCACACCAGTGCTGGATATTAATAATTGGGAAAATGGTGGGCGGGGGAGAAGGAGGGAGGATGAAGGATGTGTATGAGAAGTCTGTACTCCCTGCTTGATTTTTCTGTAAACGTAAAGTGCCCCCCAAAACTTAAAGACTATTAATTAATTTTTTTTTAAAAGAAGTAATCGAGAAAGCCACGAGGCAGAGCTCTTCCGCCTGGATTTCAGAAAATAAAAATAGTCTCTACTTATTCTCTGATGTTCTCTGATAGCATTTTGGTTTCATTTCTATTGTTTTTACTCCTTCTGGTACTTGAAAGTTCTAGCTTATCAGTGATATTTTTCCTCCTTCTTATTGCAAGAACACTGAGCCTTCAGATTTGTGTTTGGTGCATATGATGTCACCATGACGCAGGCAAATTGCTGCTTTCCTAACAGCCTTCATGTCCACAGATGAATGCACAGGGAAGCCAGGCACCAACTTCTATGGCGTCTCTCTGCTCCCGGTGCCTCCTCCATGTTAAATTGCTGCAAATTTAAAAGACGAACTAAAAAAATTAATAAGTCACTGTTTGGGCAGTTCTCCCGTGAGAGGTTTGTCTGTGTATCAGTAAGTCTAGTTTTTTTTCTTTTTTCTTTGCTTCTTTTAGATCTGGCTTTCCGTTTTTTGTTTTTTTTCCCCCTCAGTTGTTAGGAGCAGAATGAAATGGCGGAAATGAAGACTAAATGGAGACTACTCTTGGGGGGGTGGGGAGGACCCAAAATCTCCCTCCCCCAAACTTCTGCATTTGAGGAATCGACCTCCTTCCCCACATGCTGTCCCTTGAAGGGCCTGGGTTAATGGAATGACTATAATTTTGGTATTAGTGGCTCAGACCTGGCTTACTTCTGTTGTCCTTGTGTAATAATCAATAGCTTCCCATTTCACTCTCAAAAGTGTCCTGGTTTGGGTGATAAGTTACACGGTTTCCCTGCCTTAGCACTACTGGGTATTATGCCATGGTCTGAGGTCATTCTGTTGGCCATTAGTTATCAACTTGGCACTAGAAAATGGACTGCTGATAGGAGACCCCAGTTCTCCTGGCAACGATAATCCCATAATACTCTACCAGCCCCTGATCTTTGCTTTAGAGTCCCCATATTCCTTTGACTCTCAGGTGGCACTTGTTTCTTCTTTATGTCAGTAAAGAAAGCAGAGCTCAATGAGGCACCCAGCTCAGTGTAACCAGACCCAAAAAGGCATATGTTATCTCCAGCCCTAGGGTGAATAACTTGAAAAGGTGTCATTTCATTATTCACTGGTACCCTGGTTCATTTCTGGAAGAAATATTTCTTGAGCACTAGCAAGTTCCAAATACCATGTTAAACCATAGATAGATACAGTGAATAACAGAGAGCCTCACTTTTTGTTTTCATAAGCTTATGTTAGCAGAGAAGGCAGGCTTTAGAACAGTAATGACAATGGATGACGGCTGCTGTGAGAAGACTATTTATTATCGGCAAGGACAAGCCGTGATGATGGAGCGATGGGTGGGGTCCTTTGAGTGGTGAGCCTGGCAAGCCATTTCAGGGAGTGAAGGTTCTTTTCTGTGGGAAGTGACTTGATCAGATTTGCATTCTAAAAAGATCGCGTGGGCTTCCAAATGGCCGTCTTTACATAAAATAAATCACAGAAGAGCATTTTCCACGTTAATAATCACTTCAGCTGGACTAGAACAGCTTAGAAGTGGGGATAAAATGTGTGTTCATAGTTTATTTTGGTTANATTATATTAATGAAGAGCGTGTTAGCACTATGTTAGTAATAGAAAATAAATACTTCTCTGAATATACAGACCATGTTTTCTAACATATTTGTGTCTAATATTGCTTAACCATGATGAGCTCTCAGTAGTATCTTGTTGACTGACAGACTGGTGGATGTTATTCAAGTTTAGAAATAGGTGACCAGATTAAAATATATGTCTATTCAACTCTTTGTATTAATTTAGAAAAAGCTTGGAAAAGTCTGCACATTTTTCAGATCTGTTAAATTATTTAGAACAGCAGAGGAAAATGTGTTTCAACTCCTTGCCAACTCTGACTCATTGCTAGTGGCTGCCTGGGAACTCGGTGTTGACAAAGAGTCTGAGGCTTAAACTAAGTTTACTTGAGAAAGCCCACAATTGAGTCAGTAGGATGGTAATTCCATGATGGTAGGGATTCTTGTCTGTTTAAGTTAGTGTTTGAGCCTCAGTTTTGTGCTCTAGTGCCTAGAACAGTGCCTGGCACATTGAAGTCTCTTAAAACAGTTTTAACATAAATGAATAGATTAATTGGTGTTGTCTGCCATGGGTGTGCATTAGGAATCCACATACTGTATATTTATTTAAAATATTAGTTTTATTTAATCATTCACTTATATATTTGTTTATCCGTTTATTCAAAATCTATGTATGGAGCGCTTAATGTTAGCTTTTGTTATCACATATTAGGTATTGTGTTAGGCCCAGGAGTTCAATGAAAATTAAAACTCTCATCAAATTTAGAGCCTGATGTTCCAGATATCCTTATGTTGC